GGAAAAAATGAGATACTATACATTGGCTATTTTTAAATATTCACACGCTTATACTCTCATTTTCTGTGCTTCATCACTTTGACTTCCATAACTTTTATGACACTTTTAAGTTTAACACACAAAAAAACTTTTCATTGGCCAATTTTACGATGATTATTAGAAATATTAATCACAAAAGCATGGCAATATCCTAATTTTCAACACTTTTTCTTTAAAAAAAAAAACTTTAATAAAAATACTTATTCCCACGTGGGAGAATCAAAGTATAATCGCCGTCAGCCTCCATTTTCAGTGGAATCCAATGACACAAGTCAACCTTCTTCATTCAGGTTTCTTCGCACAATCCACACCGTTGAATACACGTGTCACACGATCGTCATAGGATTCACCGATTAATACCATGTACCTTGCCTCACATGATTCGTCTCTCTTATCTAACACCGTGTTTAAGCCAGCCGAAAAAGACCGACCGACCACGATCACCACTTAAACAACTAACCAATCATAAAATTCCACGTGTCATGCTTTAATAGTTTATTCACCGTCTTACACGGAAAATAACCAAGATTATAAGCTGATCCAATGGAAGCTTTTCATCTTCCTTAATTCTTTCCCTTTTTCATTTTCTCTCCTTAAATTTTTTTAATTTCAATCTTAGAAGATTCACAAAATCTTTGATTTATTTTCTTTTTTATCTTATTTAATCTATCTTAGATTTTGCATTTGATCCACTAAGCTTCTGATTTCACTTGCATTTCTGTTTATGGCGTTATTTGAAATTAAGTTGAAACTTCACGGCGAGGAAGATGGATTAGGGTTTGTGAGGGTTACACGAGGATTAGGGAGGAAAAGGATTCTGATTTCGAAATCTAATCAAGAAATCGTTTTGAATTCCGATGAATCGCCGGGGACGGTGAAGATTCCGGTGAAGAGAACGAGAAGTGAAACGACGGAATCCAATAAGTCTATGTTTGAATCTCTGCATCAAGATATTTTGGTAAGTTTG